AGGTAAATTCTGAACCTGGTTCAGTGTGTTCCTTTCCACATGTCTCAAACTATAACAACATTTGTAAGTTTGCACAGAGCTGAAAGCTCCCATTCCTCCAGGCAACATCATGCTTACCTTGTGCAGATCCAGTTTGATATGACTTAGCTCTGAGCCATTCTAAAAATAGTGCTAAATATGCCTGCAGTACCACACACGTTATCTCTGCTTCTTGTCTTTGAAAATCATTTGTGTGAACATCCAGCTTGCTCTCCATGTACATTTACCCTTTGATGTTTTTCCATAAGCCAAACTTTTACAAATGGAGGCAGTATCCTTGCCCAAACCTAGTTTAAAGTAGGAGCTTGAGGAGTATTCCAAATTCTGGTAAAGCAATCTGCAGGTATACAATTCCACTGACTGGGTTGAACTTAGTTTTGCAAGCTACTTTGCACCTCTTGGGAGGAGCAGGCTCCATCCACTCTCATAAAAGCAATCAAAGTTGATGGTAGCCAGAACCTCACAGGACGCAGCTTTGTGTTTTGAAAATTATAAAGATACTTACTGGAGTTTTAAAAAAAAGTAATTTGTTTTCAAGTGGTATATTTCTTGAAGTATAGTTGGCAATATTTTGAAACAAATACAGCTTGAATTTATATGAGCAGCTCTGCCTTGAATAATGTATTGAGTTTTCTGCACGTTCTGCTGCTTATTTTTTATTTTTTTTAAAAAATAAAAACCAGACACAGAGGCAACAGGAAGCTCTCTGTTCTGCCGATAGGCTTATTGACAGTAGACTGTGGAACGTTTTCTTTCACTGTGGCTTTTAATACTTGGCGGCATCCAGACGGCACCCAAAAGGCAAGTTAACAGAGATGTTTTTCATTTTTCCCCCTGTATTTACAGCTGCAACTGACATGAAAGTATCATAATAATGGTCATGGGAGAGGCTTAGTCTCTTGATGGCTATCTATACCAGCTGAAGTATTCCCCTCATTTTAGTGTCGCCAGGAATTACATCCAGGATGTTTATGATGCATTATCTCCAGCCTTCATTAGATTTTATTGCCATGGCTGGAATCTGTTAAAAAGCCTGAAGTCAAGAATGTGACATCATTTCATCCAATTAAATTGCAGTAACCATGTAGTCAGCATGTTCAAAAGGTGTCTAGCAGCATGGTTTTCATTCATTTTAACATTCTTTTGTGCAGAAAGGGTTTGAGGCGAGTCTTAACAACTGGACTGTATTGTGATTCAGTCTATTCTAGTGGGTGGCAAGCTAGCTTTTTATGCTTGCTGTGTATGCCTCTGATACTGGAAATCTTATGTATGTGAAATCAGTCTGCTTTCTTTTTCAAAAGAAAAAACAAATAAAAATAATCCGAACAGTAAAAATGATCAGTTTTACTCCACAAAGATATACTGACTGAACATGAGGGTTTGAGTCGGAGTATTATTAAAGAGATACTATAAAATGTGTAACTGGCTGTAGAACTCATAAAAAAAAAAATGACTGCATCAGTGCTTAGAGTGGTAGTATTCATGGACTAATTCCTTCATTTGGTGGGAGTCCAGTAATTTTGTTAGTCTTAAAGTGTGTGATTGTCAGGTCTTTAATAATAATAATGGTAATATTAATAATAAATAATATACCTTCCCCACTTCCACCCCTAATATGCTTATTTGTAGGAGAGTAGGGAGAGGAGGTGAAAGACCTAGAGTACAAAGCATTGTGATTTTTCCATGAACTACTACGTATACTTCTAGTCATTCATTTTTAAGAAAGATTAATTTGCACTCGAATACATACAGAGAAAGGAGACTAAGATGATCAAGGGAACAGAGAACCTGGCTCAGTGATTCTGAACCAGGGTGCCATAAGATCCTTTCAAGGATCAGTATTAGCTCAGTATTAGCGCTGTTAGCTATGAAAACACCCACACGATTCACAAGATAAACCCAGGGATTTCAAACAGGAAACCACAGTGTCAAAATCATTCAGACCTGTTGTGGCCTGAGCTTTCTGCAACAAAAGAATTGTTTTATTATTTTACTATAGTCCAAAAATGAGTGAAAGCTAAAAGCTAGCATTTTTTAGGTCTGCCTTGAGTTTAACAAGGGGTGCCTTGTGTCTTAAAGGTTGACAACTACTGGTCCATCTTATAAATGTGTAAGAGGTTGGCTTACTTAGTTTGATGAAACAAAGGTTGAGAGAGAGCAATATTGCTGCCTAGAAATATATCAGGAGAGTAAGAGCCAGGAAGCAAAAAGAACTATTTAAGCTAATGGATAATGTTGGCGCAAGAACAAATGGTTATAAATTGGCCAGGAATAAGTTTACATTAAAGTTGGGAAAAGGTTTCTACCCATTGGAGCAGTGAGATTCTGAAACAGTTTTCCCATAAGAGTAATAGAGGAAAAAACCCTAAGTAGTTATGAGATGGAACTTAGTTAGTTTATGAACAGACACAACACTTACAAAATGTTGTCAGTAATAGTGGGGGACTGGACGGAGTGATCCTCGCAGTCCATTCCAGTCCTGTGTTCCCCATGCTCGGACTTTTAAAATTGGATACTTATATGGTTAAATATTACAGTTTTAAACTATAATCTAGACTAGTCCAATTCCTGGGCTATCCAATTCCTAAGCAGCTGGGGGCCACACACTGAGGGCTTCCCCCTCCCTCTTTACCCTTCTGCACTGTTGCAGGTTTGCCAGTCCAGCAGTGCCCTGCTGCTGCCTTCTAGTTTCTATTTGGAAAAAAATATTTCTTGAAATTATATTAAAACAAAACTGCTTAGTGGCACTTCTCCAGGAATCCTGGCTCTCACCTGCTGATCATGGTATAGTACTGCTGTACCGCTATCTACAACTGCACCAGGATGATTCATTTCCCTGTGGTGCTGCACTGCCCCTCCCCTTTCTCCTCTGCACGCCCTCCATGCCCACTTACATACCTGCCATCCTCTGGGGGAGCAGGGATTTGTGTATGGGGCCCTGATTCTGTCATAGTGGGCAGCTGGTGCCAGTGTGTGGATGCTTGTATGTGTATAGCATGAGGAGCAATGAGAAGAGTAGCAAGCAGGTGGCTGCGAGTTGAACAGCCCTGATTTAGACATCTCTATACTCCTATAATGCCTTTCATCTAAGGTTCCCCTTGTGCTTTACAGCCTACTTGCTACCCTGAAAAATTGAGGAAGGTGGGAACAAGGAAGAATTTTGGTCAGTGGAAGGAGAGAGGGCCTGCCATAAAGGGCCTTCCACTCTGATCAGCAGGCAGGCATTTATTACCCTTCCTGTCCCTGCTGCCAATTTGGTACCCTATAACTTTAATTGCAATTCACCTTAATTGTGATATCAAATTTAAGTGTCTAGTGATCACTGTTACCACTGGAACTTTTTAACTTCTGTCCTAAGATTACTGATTCTTAATATTCTTAAGATCAAGAATTTCCTCCCTCCTTATAGAACTGAAAATAAAAAGCAAATATTCACTTTGCTGTGCATGATAATCCATTTCATGTTTTGATTTGATCTGCAAAAAGGTAGATGATGTTACACTGACCATCCTGGCAGAAGATGTATAACTTGATGTATCTTTTGGCCATTCAGTCTGGGCCCTGTTATTGGCCACTGCCCCCTGTTTTTTGAAATGTACAAATCATAGAATCATAGAAAATTAGGGTTGGAAGGGAGGTCATCTAGTCCAGCCTCCTGCTCAAAGCAGGATCATCCCCAACTAGATCATCCTAACCAAGACTTTATCTAGCCAGGTGTTAAAAACCTCCAAGGATGGAGATTCCACAACATTTCTGGGTAACTTGTTCCAGTGTTTTACTACCCTCCATGTAGGAGTTTTTCCTGGTTTCTAACATAAACTTCCCTTGCTGCAACTTGAGACCATTGCTCCTTGTTCTGTCATCTGCCACCACTAGCTCCATCCTTTTTTCAGTCATCTTTCAGGTAACTGAAGACTGATATTAAATCCCCTCTCAGTCTTCTCTTCTCCAAACAAAAGAAGCCCAGTAACCATTTTTGTTGCCCTCCACTGGACTCTCTTCAGTTTGTCTGTATCCTTTCTGTGGTGAGGGCCCAAAACTGGACACAGTACTCCAGATGTGACCTCACCAGTGCTGAATAGATGGGAAGAGTCACTTCCCTTGATCTCCTGGCAACACTCCTACTAATGAAGCCCAATATGCTGTTAGCCTTCTTGGCAACAAGAGCACACTGTTAGCTCATATTCAGCTTACTGTTCACTGTAATCCCCAGGTCCTTTTCTGCGGAGCTGCTACTTACCCAGTCAGTCCCTAAGCTGTAGTGCTGCATGGGATTGGTCTATCCTAAGTGCAGGGCTTTGCATTTGTCCTTATTGAACCTCATGAGATTTCTTTTGGCCTAATCCTCCAATTTGTCTAGGTCTCTGAATCCTTTC